TTTTCAAACCTATTAGCCTTTCTGCTGATTTGCCATTGCCTTACATGTTTAATTTGACATGGATGATGCTCTTCAGAGTACACAAACGAACACAGTAAGGAAAAATTAAAAGCAACCTGATCGGCAATGAATATCTACAAAAGCCCAGTAATTTCAAAATTATTATATACATTATTTTATAAACTTTTTTTTTCTCAACACCAAAAACATACATCTTTTACAAACCAGCCTGCTTTGCAACAGGTAAAATTTACAATTATCTTTCTTATATAGTGCTTCAAAGAGAACTGCTTACATTTCCCACACGAACCTCCCAAAATTCAAAATTGTTCTGGGAACAACCCAGGTCTTCATTGACAGGATTAAGCTACACCAGTGAGGGTTTGAATTTCCACCATCCAGTTCAACTGTATCCTTAACACTGCCATGACTGAAGACTGGTTTATGGCCTTGTAATACAACATTTGTAAATTATTGCTTTTTTAAAAAACATGTACATGATGAAATTAACTTATTTGCATTACACCCCATCCCTATGTGTCTTTCTCCCATGTGAAATTAACAAATGTTCAGTGCTTTTTTTCTGTTTGGTGCATAGCCTTAGAAAATATAAGTTCAAAATAATGACCTTCACCGGGTAACCTTATAGTAGATTCTAATACAAAAACATGCAGTTAACAGAACAGTTTTGAATAGGCATACAGAAGAAAATGAAATCACAAGAAACCAATTGTGCATAATCAATGGAAGGCATATGATTCTTTCTCTCTATTTCATTTAAGACATTTCTCTTTTCTGAAATTGAAGCTCCCAATCAACACAACGGCTTCAACAAGTACTTTGTAGAAGATTCCTATGTTCTGCATCAGTCCTAAGATTTTCCTGCTCTAGATCTTGAAAACCACTCTTCAAGATAAAAACAGACTGTTCATACATTACTGTTTGGGATCAAACATTAGAATGAAAAAAACAATGAGCAAATACCCTTTAGTGTTTTTGTGTGTGTGTGTGTGACCAATATCCCAGTTCCAAAAAACAAACAAACATTGATTGGCTCACCAGCCAGACATAAGAAGTGGACAATCCAATCCTTGATACCTTAACGTGTTGAGAAATGTTTTTTTTTATATCCAGAGCACACCTATACAGCCTATTAGACAGGTATTTGTGCCTGTCAGGAAACCAACAACATTTTCTATTCTGGAGTACCCAGCAGGCAGGTAAGCAGAAAATATAGGTTTATTGAGAATGCAGATTATGTGTGGTCTGGTGGATCATCAATTATCCGGGTCTGGTCTGAAAGACACGGATTCAAATCCATTAGAGCAGTGGTCCCCAACCTTGGGCCTCCAGATATTCTTGGACTTCAACTCCCAGAAATCCTGGCCAGCAGAGGTGGTGATGAAGGCTTCTGGGAGTTGTAGTCCAAGAACATCTGGAGGCCCAAGGTTGCGGACCACTGCATTAGAGAGTGTCTTCTGCTGGATTTTAGTACAACTGGCTCAACCTCAGGCCAATTCCCAAATAGGTAAGAACTCAGTGAGAGGAAAGATTTCTACAGGCAATGAGCTTGGAGACAGACCAGTGTTCTTCTGGATAGTCTGCTTTCAAGGAAGTTCAGTGCACTGAGCCCACAAAGACACTAACAATTTACAAACGGGAGTGATGACTTTAAACTGTACAAGACACATCCCTTGGATGTACTGTGTGCTGTATTGTGACAGTGAGTGGCCTGCAGTTATCTTTCTTACGGACATTTCACTGTGTGAAAAAGTGTGATCAATATATGAAAATATAAGCCTTAAATGTTTTATAAGAGACAACAGGGAAAATCAAAAGCAAAATTTTAATTATGGAAGACTAGCTTTGCATTCAGGATCTCTGCCCCCCCCCATGCTTGGAACTGTTCATTTTTGGGGGGGGCTACAACACCCATAATCCCCTAATATTGTCACCAGTGTGAGGAATGCTAGGAGCGATGGTCCAAAAATTCTTTTTTTTTCCTTCCCAAGATCCCTATAAGCTACTACAAGAATGGCAGACCTGATTAAGTGGAGAAAGGAAAGCAGCAAGCACACCGAACTGTGGGTTGGGACTCTCAAATAACACTAAGGAAAACTTTAATGGACATACATGGCAGCTGAAGTACCTGTTGTTCCTCCACTGCCAAAACTCTGGGCTACTGGTTTAAATTTGTTTGGATGAACTGAGATATATATTTTAATATAACTTTGAGAGTCAACATTGGCAATAGTTGAGGGCAAGAAACCAGTCAAAGAGGAAGCCTGGTTTGCTGAGGTAGTATTGTATACAGACTGCACCTCTTCAACCTACAGCAGAGAAGGCCAGCATGGCTATGATCTTTCAGATTGACATTTACCATTTCAATGTGGCAATGCATGTTTTTGTTTGAGTGCCAATCAGCCATCTGAAAGGACGAATGCATGTTTTTGTTTGTTTTGAGTGCCAATCAGCCATCTGAAAGGACATTGCTCCCACAGGACGTGGCTGTTTTGGGAAGAACTAGGACAGGGGCACACTCAAAAAAAGAAGAAGAACTAGAACAAGAAGAAGCAGAAACTAGAGCTTTTCTGCTCATGAAGCAGAAGGAACCTGGAGTTTTGGTTGGTACAACCAATGACTGTAGGTAGGTAGGTAATTTTTAATAAGCTTTTCCACAGCTCTTTGAAAAGGCCCATTTCCTTCATATAAATATAGCAGCGCTTTGTAAGAGAGAGATGTCATGACGCCTTCTGAAGTGTGTCCTATTTTACCACCATCAGTCTGATGGCGGTACTTCTGGATGGGCACCAAAAATGCGATCCAACACATGTGCAACATTGGAAGTGGTTCAGCCTAGACTTCTACCACCTCAGTCGGTGTGCGAAAGTGGCTTCAAAATCACCACCATCGGTTTTAGGGGGAAAAAAAATCAAAATGGAAAATAAGCATGGTGTTACTCACAACAGTTATTTGATGGACAATGCCTGATGTTGCCAACACCAACAATACGTTAGCAGATCACAGAAAAGAAACCGGAAGGAAACATGTGGAAGGAAATCAATGACCCTAATTCCTCCTGAGAGCCAACATTTTGTGATCTGAGCAGTGGAGGGAGGGGTTCCCATTGCCACTGCAGCATGAGATGTCCCTCAGTCCACAACTTGTGAGGCTTTTGGGGTTATCATGACTTGTCTTTATCTTGTGTAAGTGAGATTACATGGATCTGGGAGTAATCAGCAGCCGGCTGCTAGTAAAATAAGTCAGAGGCCTGATAACTGCACAGGACCTGGCAAAAGTGAGAGGGCCCCAAACTACATGTAACCTTGAAGGAACTAAAAGTCTATGCCAATGGAGGAAAATGCGATATAAACAGGGCTCCCACATGGTTACTTAGTGCAGACAACATTAGGAACTGTTCTGAGGAAGACTAGAAGGGTAAAAAAATAATCATGTGCAGAGAATAGTCACGTTCAGCTATTTGCATTATTTCTTTTGTTCCTAATTATTTCCCTCCGTGATGTTGTTGATATGTCTGTCATCAAAATTGAAAAAAAATATCAAAATAAACCTAGATATTAAGTGTCCCACAGAAGCATTAGCTGAAGATGCCCACATTCACTGGATGCCAGGAAGGATTAGTTCATAATTACTTTGTGGGGGAAGAAAACAAGAGAGCTCAATAGTTCAACCAAACAAAAGTTCAAAGTTCAGATGTATTATTCTGGAATCTACTTGAAGCAGCTCCAATGTGTACTCTAACTGTGAGCTTGAGAATTGGGAACAGACATAGTTGACTGGTGTTTTGACTACGGTACAAGCACCTCAACACCCATGCCTGTTTAAAAAACAAACAAAACAAAAAACAAAAAAAAACTTGTCCACAAGGTCACCCTATGCTAGCCTCTTCGAAACTTTAAGCTTCTTTAACAGGAGTCTATTGGCCAACTTTGGCCAGAACTTGAGAGGGTCATTTCTGGAACTGAGAATCCTCTAGCCAAAATGTCCATATTAAGCTGGAGGATTCCGGAGTTTTAAGTCCCCAAAGCGTCTTTTCTAAGTTCTGACTCTGGCTACACACGCTTGGAAGAACTGTTTCAAGTATGGAAGAGAAATCTGTCTTTTCTTTCTTCACAAATGGGGTGAGATGGGGACACATACATTTCAACCATAATGTTCCCCACTCCCATAAACACGGGAGGAGGGGACACGTGAAAGTCTAGGGTGGAGTGGAGAAAGCAAACACTGCACAAAACACACTATAAATGGTCACTTCTAGTATTTATCACACCAGGGCTCTGGGGGGAAGGAAGGGAGCAGAAAAAAAAATCAGTTCTTCCACCAGGATACACAAGTAGGCCTGTGCTACTTCCCGGAAGAGTTACATGAACATGTTGTCTTGCCTTGAAACCCATTGTTAACATACTTTTCAATATTCTAACTAGATTGCTTGTTGCATAAGAAATATTCATAATTCTCTTACAGTATGGAAGGGGGGGTTTTGTAACGAACGAAACTGCCAAGTTTAAGACTAATTTCAGAGTTCCTCCACTTTTAAAAGTGTTACATGATTGCTGCTCGTTATTTAAAACCCATTTTGCTCATAGCACTGCCTGTTTATGAGCAATCAACTATCTCCTGTAACAAAAGGAAATTGCCACTGATGAACAATGAAACGGAGGCATTGAAATTCAGTTCCAGCCAACAACCCCACCCCCACAAAACCCTCACTTCATGGAAGACAGGCACCCGAAATGCTCATTTTACGTTGTGCTGACCAGGATCCAGGATAAGGCAAGGCCATGAAAAAACTGTTAGGGGATCCATTCATCCATGACTATGCTCTAGGACCAACAATTTATTTGTTTGGTATTGCAGTATTCTGCCAGGAAAGGAATGATGCTCCCCCCAACTTTCAGCTGCACGGTGAAGAAAAACCTTTAATTACAGGTAGGAAAGGAACAGTGTGTGCTCAAAAATAGGGCAAAACGTGGCTTGTCTTTTTTTTGGCAACGCTAAAGGAAGTGTGCTTGAAAGAATGAAAGAGAGCAAGCATCTGCACAATGTTTTTAAAAGGCACCTGCAGAGAGACAAAGAATATGACTGAATCAAAGGAGCCTGGTATATACGGTACATCTGTGTGCACGAGTCTTACAAAAAGAAAAATACATAAATGATCATTCTGATTTTGCACAGACCACTTCTGGGGCCAGCTTCTCCACAGGTGCATACAAAATGTTTCATAGAATGTTAATTTGCAAAGCTACACTTTGGATCCTAACCCCTTCTCCAAGTATAGTACCTGGAAATAACTTTTCCAACTCTGCTGCGGCTGCAGGATGCACTCCCAAGATTTCCCTCCCCTCCCCTTGTATACTAGAAGTAAAGGAGCCTATAGTTCTCCTGCATTGGGTCATCCTACCCCCAGTGATGCGTGCTTGATAATCCGTGTAATAAATGATTACATTTCATATCGTTCTCTGAGGCTGACTTACTTTCATGTGATCCTCATAGATTGGTTGCGTGCAAGGCTCATCGTGATATGCAATAGATGAGAGCAGAACAACGACAGACTGCTCACCTGCAGTTTCAGTATGGTTTAGAGTCGGAGATTATTTGGCAACACATGTTGTTCGGCTGTTGTACACAATGGCCAGGTAGCCGTACATCTGAAATGCAGCCACATGTAATTATACATTACAGCAGAGATGGGACTCGCGAAGCCTGTGAAAGCATTTCTGTGCCCTCTGGAGCACCCCAAAGAAAATTAAAAACCTACCCCAAAATCTTTGGGGTTTTCCTCCAGACATGGCAAAATTATATCACTGGGAGGTATAGTCCTTGTTTAAGCACAAGCCATGATCACCTTACCTTCTATTAAGAAAACCTTTTTTGTTGTTGTTTTGAAATGGAAGTGATCTTCCAGTTTACTTGGACAGTCTAGCTTTCCCACAAGTCCTGGGAGTAGGAAAATCAGCTCTGGAAGGATCCCCAGAGTTTGATCATCCTGCATTGAATGGAATAATACAGAAGAAGAACTTCTTGTGGACTAAAAAGACTGATTTTGATTTTGTAAGAGCCAATTTATACAATTGCAGCCTTACCAGCTAATTTTACCTTCATTTATTCACGGGACAATATTCAAACTACGCAGCAACGCTAAGAAGAATTTGAGATGTTTTTGTGGTGGGTTTTTTTTTTGGCCTGTTCTTAACACTGAGTTTAATCTTGCAACACTTTTAGTAGTAGGACAATCCATAAAGCAAAGTAAAGGAAACCTGTCACCAAACAATTTCTCTGCTTTCTACTGGCCACAAGCTGGATGTGCCAACTTTGGTTCCAATTTTCTGAGATAACCTTCTTTTCCCTCTGTGTAATGTGCACATACATCAGGGATTTTGTGTCGGGGAGAAAAATGGGTTATGCTAGTAATCCACCATGCCCCATATATAGGTCCAATATTCTTAGTGGAAAACAAAAAAGATCCATTGTAATAGTTATGCTATGAATGAGACCAAACAACAGCAAGAACGACATCAACAAAAACAGCTTCTTCACACTTGAGTCTGGTGATGCGTCTCCATGAAAGGAATGCAAATATGATGGTGGTCTAGATGGAGCTCCTCAATGCTTTCATAGTCACTCATGGTGACCTCAGAGTCATCAAAGCCACAACCTGCCGAAACGTCAGATGAGGAGGCATCCAGGGAATGGTGTAAGGTCAAGGTCTTCTTGGCTCCACTACCAATGTTTTCTCTGTTTGGCCCTGGTCCAACACCAAAAGTACTAAATTCATTAGCAGTCTGAGATCCACCATTGTCCACGTCATTGGGAAACTGGTGCGGAGGGAGGTATTGGCTCGGGTGGAACTGTGGGCGTCGCCGACAATCTGGGCTAAGAGTTCCGGTCATGGAGACGGGCTGGGATGGAGGGAGGGCTTCATATTGGTCAGGATAGTCTTCTGGAAGGGGAGGTGGAAGCTGGTCCTGGTTTAAAAACTCCTCCTCATGTGGTGGAGGATAGTCACTGTCAATATCATAGCCGCCAAGATAGTAATCCGTTTCCAGCTCTCTTGTGCTCCCGTGATGCGCTGAGCTGCCGTCCGCCGTCTCATAATTAGGCACCTCTTCAATGTCGGACAGCCTAGCGCTTGGCATCCAGTCTGAGGTGTCCCAGTGATACGCTGTGGAAAGAAAACACACCCACAGTGATTGGGGGAGGTGGTGTCACCTTCACTCAAAATGAAATATATGGGCATGCAGCTGATACGAAGCATATTCTTCTGAGCCTCAGCAGAATGGAACTTCATACTCAAAGAACTAACATGCATCACCGTTGTTTTTTTTTAAAATACAGAACAGAACAGAACGAAATACTGGCCGGTCATGCGTTGGCCAAGATGAAGAGAAGCCACCTCACGTCTTGACAGCCAGCAACCACAAAACAGCCATTTTTAAGTAAGTGAAGAAAGTAAAAAAAGAAAAGGGAGGGGGGAAGCGAAACCCTAATGGAAGATTCTGCTCATGGAAGATGTGAGAATCCATCAATCCGTTAGAAAAGAGCATAGGTATATACATTAATAAAAGTCAGCATGCCCTTGAGGCTATGTTCATTTTCCAAAATCTTGGTCTGAGGAAAGAAAATCACACAGGCAACACAAAATAATATACTGAGATGAAAAAGAACCAGCAAACACCTGAAATAAAAAAAGAAGATAAATATATATATATTTCCCCAGATGAACAAAATAAGGACTATAACATGCTCAAACATGCAAAATGTGGGCAGGGCATGATCCCATACGTAGAAGCCAAAGTAAACATGTTAGTAATGTGTTAAAGACCACCCATTGCAGCAGGCAGATATGTCACCTCTGTTGTAGTTCTGTCCTTGATCCATACCAGACACTGTTAAATACAAAGTGGGGGGAAAAAACCAACACTGGAAATTCGCAAGTCTACAACCGGCACAGGATTTACACAGACATGTTGAATAAAATCTAACAATATGGCATATGTTTCTACGACAATCTGACTTAAAGCATTAATGAAGTTGACTTTAAGCAGTTTTAAAAGGTGAAAAATTAAATCTGCTTCTTCTAATCAGACTTGCATAAGACACAGACTGAAACACCACGTTGCACCAACTGTTAGGGTGTATTCATTACTTTAGTTATTGGAATCGAACATGCAAAACTGACTCAAGCATACAGGTTTAACACATAAGTCTAGACAGCGTTTTTAAAAAGATGAGATGTATTGTTTAATTCTCTCTTGCTCACTGTGAAACGGAAAAAAAAATAAGAATCTACCATTCTCAGGGCCGGTTCAAACAAATCTGGGCCCAAGTACGCTCAGATACCACGGTGAGAGGCACGGTATAACAACCTGAACAGAACAGAATAGAAAGGCAGTCAATTGGGCCACCAGAAGCAAACACCAAAGAGTCCACTCCTAGCTAAAAATACGACTTTCCATATGGGGATTAGAAGGGGCAGCTGGCCAGGTGCAGAGAAAACAGCCAGGGTCTCTTACCAGCCTTTATTAAGAGAGGCTGGCTTATACCAAATGAGACCACAGGTTCGTCTTGCTTGGTACTGTCTATAGTTAATGAGAACAGCTCTCCAGGGTTATGGACAGAACATTTTTCCCAGCGCCAGGGACAAAATTAGAGAACCATTTGCCTGCCAAAGCATGTCACACCTGAGCTACAGAGTACATGGAAACACACGTTAAGTATCTTCTACAGCCTGCTCACTGAGCTGCTGTTAAAGAAAGGGGGATGGAAGTGAGCCAGTTGCAAAAGTTACAGATTTTATTTGGGGAAAGGTAACTTAGGAGCAGACCTACTGGAAGTTCTTTTATTAGCAGGAGACATAGCTTTCAAAAAAAATAATAATCAGGAGGCAGAACCATGCTTCTTTAAAAAGCATGAAAAATGGAGACTATAGAAGGATTGGTCAGAATCCTTCTGGGGATGTATGCTGGTGTCAATGTAACTGGATAAATTGTACTGGCCAATTGCTGCTAATTAACAAACTGCTGCTCACATTCCTGGTTGCATGTGACCGGCAATGTGAACAGCGACATCACCATATTTAAACAATTACACTGATGCCGGTGCATGTTCCCAACATAATACTGGCCGCTGTATACTATTTCTTCTTTCTGATATAACTTTATCTCTGAAAAGTTAATTCCACAGGTGCATTCTCAGGGCTGGTAAGAATCTGAATCAATGCAAACCATTCTCATTTATTTGGTTTATGCATTTACTAGTTATCCTGTAGTTATTCATTTCTTTGGGTTGTCATTAGATTCTTCATCAGTGTGAGAGGTGAACTGGTCATGCCAGGACTGGGCGGCTTTGGTTTCTAAAACTGCTCCATCCCATAAGGAATCTGAGGTTCCTCCCTGGATCTGAATTGGGGTAGAATTTGGCCATTAGGCTGAATCCCTACAGTGAAGCATCAACTGTGCAAAAACGCGATTATCCAAGTATTTCAGTATTGTTACACAGAACAGCTTGGAAAAGTAACTTCTTTGGGGTGTACAACTCCCAGGGACAATGGCTATACTGCCTGGACATTGTGAAAGTTGTAGGGCTAAGTCAACCTTTCCAAGCACTGGTCGTGAGGTGCTTTCCTGGGTCAAGACCCTAGATACAGTGGACCCTCTACTTACGGAATTAATCCGTATTGTAACAGTGGCTGCAGGTCGAAAAGTCTGTAGGTCGAGTCTCCATTGACCTACAACACATTGAAAACCGATTAATCCCGTAACCAGCCGTTTTAGTTCCATTTTTGTTCCATTTTGATTTTTTTTTCTGGTCTGTAGGTCGATTCTCCGGCTGCAAGTCGAACCTAAATTTTGTGGCCAGAGAAGTCTGTAACTCGAAAAGTCTGTAAGTCAAGCCGTCTGTAAGTCGCGGGTCCACTGTATTTCTGACTGCACAGCTGGAATGGCACTTATCTTACACTACTTGTCATCGGATAACAGCCTTCCTTATGCGAGATAAGGGGGACAAATTGAAACTAGGCTAGCGATCTGATGTGCAGAAGGCACATCCTTTTTCTCATGACCAGTGGTTGCAGCTCAGGCAGCACTGTCTGAACCGGCCCTGACTATGAAAAAGAAAAACAGAACAAAAAGCGCACTGAGTGGAAGCCCTGTGTTGACCGGACACAAGGACCATTCCTGTGTCGCTCGTTTTTTATATATATATACCTGTATTCTTCAGGGGCATTACACTGTGGCATGCTTTAGCATGTCTAAACACAGTTATTATCTTTCTTCACACAGCAGAACCTCATTAACTTGCTGACTTGCCTGGCACCCGGCCTCTTTCCCAAGTTGAAGGAAAAGTCATGTAAGCACGGTCTTGAACACCTCCAGATTTTAACAGGTGTACCCAAATATATCGTGAACTATTTTACGTCAGACTGAAGGGCTGTACAAACAACTGAAGGTCAATGGTAACCATTGGATAACTGACAATGGTGGTAGTATTCCTGACATGAATCTACGGGGGGAGGGGGGGAAAATTACATTTCATGTAATTTGATCCTGCCCAACATTAGAAGCATTGACCAGAATCCTATTACTTAATTACGACAGCGTAAGTGAAGCAGCATAAATCAGAGTGGCAAAATGGTCTCTATTTAAGAAATTAATGCTATGCCTTTCTCCGCGTGCACAAGTTGCGTGACTCGGCATGTGACAAGAAATACAACTTCTTCGCTGGCATGAATTAACTGCAGAGACTTACATTGTTTGCCTTATGTCAACACAAGTAAGTAATAGGATTCTGGCCCCTGTAAAATAATTATGTTGTATTTCAAGGAGTATCGTCAATACTAACCAAAGGAGGTCTATCCCACAGGAGCTTAGTTCACAGAGCGGCTGTGAAGCCCTAACCCTCATGCACCAGGCTACAACATTTAGTTTGCTGAAGAACTCACATAGAACTAGATATACTAGTCTATGGCACTGTCATCTGAACAACTATGAGCAGTGTCCCCAGGTTTCAGCCACTCACAATGCACAGATTGTTTTTAAAAGGGGAGGTGGAGTCTGGCATAGGCTATGGTATCAAGAAGCAGAAGTGGGATGACATTATCTGTAATTCACAGGGTTGAAGCGTTTAGCTATGAAGCCATGGAAGGGGATTTCAAAGTTCCACTGTCCCTTTTGGGAGAAAAACCAGCCAGATAACCCACAGTACATATAATTTATGGCACTGGTCCCCAACCTTGGGCCTCCAGATGTTCTTGGGCTTCAACTCCCAGAAATCCTGGCTAGCAGAGGTGGTGGTGAAGGCTTCTGGGAGTTGTAGTCCAAGAACATCTGGAGGCCCAAGTTTTGGGACCACTGGTTTATGGGATTATGAGCCCTGCTAACTCCGTGGTCTTAGACAAGCTGTACAAGCCCAGTGTGGCACAAAAAAAAGGGAGACTGGCAAGCCACTTCTGAATACTTTTTACTTAGAGAACTACAGGAGGATCACCATGACTCAGAATCATCTTAACCGCACACTATAATGATGATGGTGGTGATTAAGGAAATACGAGAGTACATATTAAAACAATAAGTCATGATGAATGTGGCGTGCCCCACAGAATATGGAGGTGATGTACCCTCTCATCCTGGTCATGGACTTGCCTATGGATTAAATCCAATTTCTAAGCCTGAAACTAAACCTAACCACCTTTGTCAACTCTAGCGCTAATCTTCAGAAAATGGGAATTCCAGAGGGTTTGATAGATAACTCAATGTATTTCTTAAAAATATCCTGGTGCATGGGGGTTAAAGAAACCATTAGAACCTCAAATAATGGACAGAAAGGACGCTGAACATTCCAAAAATACATTATTATTAGCTCCACAAAACTATGGACCAAATTTTAACAGATTTGCCAGTTTGGGCTGGAGTTTCTTTGTGCTTTGGGGAAAAAAAGGTTCATTGGGACTGTAGCAATCTGTTCAATTCATTTTCTTTGGGGCTCTTTTCTGACAGCTTCCTTCCAGTGGGTGGTCAACACTACAATGGGCATCACATGACACGGGGGAGGGGGATCCCTGTTGGTCCAAACTGATCCCAGATATGAACTGAAATGGTAAAAATACATTTTGTTTTCTCGCTCTGTCTTTTGACCTTGTTCAAGATTTTCCTTGTTGGTCAAGTCAAATAGTTTGTCATGGCCTGGCTAGTCAGCGTGACCTAATGAGGCTCTACTGTGGCATTTCAAAAGAAGAAGAAGAAGACAATAGGTCACAAATGCAGGATAAAATAATGTAAAAAGATTAAATACCTTCATTTTCTATATTGTCAACTACATTGTTGACAAGCTGTATGACAGTCACTATGGAAGCTTGTGGGAGAAGGAAAGCAGAAATAAAGGGAAGGACAGCTTTATGTTAGTATGTATAACACACTGCATTGTAAGGTTACCAATATTAAATTTTCTCAGACAGATTTTCTGGGAAGGGTGTAAGGAGCGGGGGTGGGGGGAGAGGAAAGGCTATAGAATTAATGAATTATGCAGTGGCTTGAAGGACATTTCAATTTCAGATAATCTCATACATTTTTCCCTCCCTTTCCACAACACAGAAGCAAATGGAGACACATTCAAAAGCAGCACTTTTGGAAAAGCTCATATGAGATGATGAATATCACTTCATAAATTCAGCCTGGATTGTCCGGCAGATTCAATTAACCGGGACAGTATCTTGTCTACCTGACGCTAATCTTTAATTAATTCTCTCTAAAAGGCCTCCGGAGGCAGTCAGGTAGCTTCCTAGCAGCCGTAATCTTTTAGGCAATCATAAAGATACGAGATGGTTTAGAAGTCTTTTGGCTTAAATCTTTTTTTCCCTCCCCAATAGTAAAGCCTTTCTTATTATGTATGGGCTGCGGAACAAAGCCCTAGCAGGGAAATAACCAAATTCAGAAGCTTTCATTCACCTGACCATCATCATACTCCTTTCATTTAAGGCTTATCTTTTTGTAAGAGTAACCATCTAGATTGGAACCAGGTAAGAGACTCTTTTAATATACGAGCCAGCCCATGTGATGGAGGATTATTTTGCAGTCCTAGGACTGAGGGATGCTGGCCTGTGTCTTAGATGGTCATATTTTACGTTATGGCCATTTATTCATCAGTATTCTATGTTCTGGACATCCAGTGTGATGTAGTGAATAGAGTAAGGGAGTAAGACTCAGAAGACCTGAGTTTGGTTCCCTGGCTCTGCAACAGAAACTAACTTGGGGTTAAATTGGTAAAGCTGCTCCTTAAATACCTTACTTGGAAAATCCTCTTAAGATCACTGTGTCCAAGTTCTGACTTGATGACACATGGCAACAACACTGTATGTTCTAATAGACTGACTCTAGCCAATGGCCATGTCTCTCACTTGATTTTTTAATTGTACAGTCATCGTATAGCGGTTTCGTCATTTAACGAGGCAATTGTTAAGCGAGGCACCACTGTATTTAAGCTTAATCAGAGTTTAGAATAGTGTATTTTTTTTAAAAAAGCAGCCCATTAAACATTATTCATTATTTAACATATGAATAATGTGTTACTGTACTTTTCAATTTCTTTTACAAAATTTAAATTCCCCTGTTACCTCTTTGGGACAGCGTTTTGAGAGCAATGTCAACTGTTACACTTAAAATAAGGGACAAAGTTACCAGTTCATATGCTGCTTTGTGACAGGAACATGACACCTTCATTGTTCCAAAAAGTAACTTGTTACTTTTGTCATGTTGATTACACTGAACTTTGCACCCCTTTCTGCAAGCAAAGCATGTGCTCTACCACTGACTTGCTACTCCTACCTCCTTATGGTCTTTTGCTTTTTGCGTTGAGCCATGCAATACATATTTGCCGAAATTAGGTTTACCTTCAAAGGTTCAGTGTAGCTAAATTCAACCAAGCAACCATTGATTATTTTCCCCAACTTGGCTATAAATGGTTGTTGAGGGCTTTTCGGGCTCTTTGGCCGTGTTCTGAAGGTTGTTCTTCCTAAGGTTTCATCAGTCTCTGTGGCTGGCATCTTCAGAACACGGCCAAAGAGCCCGAAAAACCCACAACAACCATTAGATCCTGGCCGTGAAAGCCTTCGCGAATACATTGGCTATAAATGCTTCTAAGTTTGAAAAGTCTCACCTGCATGATCGGGAAACATATATGAGCACAGTTGCCTAGAGCACAGGATCATTAAGATATGATACACCTGATCCTCAGAAAAGAACTGTTGAGGTGCCAAAGGCCGACCCAAGATATTCTTCTGCCCTGAGGTGGATTAGTAAATGACCCCCCCTTACTCCCACTTCCAGGTAGCCCAAGTCCACTGAGTTCTTTTGGCAACTGAAGTAGAAAATTCCACAAGTACCACTCCCTCTTCTTAGTGACAAAATTATAAAAGTCAGATGAATTTCAGCACTGTTTTTATATACTTGAAATGTGAATTATTCTATGCATACTTTTCAAACATACATAAAAAGGTAAAGGTTCCCCTTGACAATTTGTCCAGTTGTGTCCAGTTGTGTCCGACTCTAGACAATCTTCCGTAGTCACGTGGCCAGTGCGACTAGACACGGAACGGCGTTACTTTCCCACCGTGGTGGTACCTATTTATCTACTCGCATTTTGCATGCTTTCGAACCACTAGGTTGGAGGGAGCTGGGACAAGTGACAGGGGCTCAGTCCGTTGCGTGGATTCGATCTTACGACGGCTGGTCTTCTGACCTTGCGGCATAGAGGCTTCTGCGGTTTAACCCACAGCGCCACCATGTCCCCCCAAACAAACATACACTTTTTTTTGACACATCCATAAATACTCATAATTGCGAGGATGCCAGAGTTCCAATAAGGTTCAGTTCATGGACATCCAGGATTACCAATCATACACTTTTTTTTGACACTTCCATAAATACTTATAATTGCGAGGATGCCAGAGTGCCAACAAGGTTCAGTTCATGGACATCCAGGATTACAGACTGACATCAGCCCTGTTGAACCTTAGACTGCAACCAGAAGTCACACACCATGTATTATAGGAAGAGGAGTGGGTGCTTTTGCCCCACATCTGCCCTATGCATTCATGCTAGCTTTACATTGGCGCTTATATGGCGTAACATCTGTGCGTCAGTACTTTCCACTGGTTGTTGCCTGTAATTAGAGACGGGCACAAGCTGATGCTTTGGTGGTTCATAATGGTTCTTCCTTTGGACAAATAGGTATTTGTGGTGCCCCAGCTTCCCTCCCTCACCCTCTAGCGAGCGCACACTCAGAGGAGCAGGGAAGCTGGGGACACTGACTCTGTGTGGGGGCCCACCACAGGACGTGGGGGTGGGAAGCTGGGGCCCACAGAACACCTGTTCACCCAAAGGACGAACCATTACAAACTGATGCTTCATGTCCATCTCTGCTTGTAATGAAGTAAGCCAACACTGAAGACTTTAGCAGTCTGAGGAGAGACAGAGTCAGACACAGAATGTGTGATTGTATGTAAGTTTAAGGCTAAAAACTCCAGCGCAGTTTTTCATATTGCTTTCCAGACACTTTTCTTAGAAATCCCAACACCACAAGATTTTTACACATCCTCCCTCACTGTGATTGTAGGAAAAGGCAGCAGTTGTTAAAGCACACATGTACAAAATAAATGAGAATAACAATGTTCAGTACAACAAGGTTGTTAATTCAAACCTCAGATTTGGCACAGAGCGTTCAAGAACAACGTTGCTCCTGCCTTCGCAACTACCTCTTCCATCTGGAAACCAGCCCTCGGATAAGGGAGACACATGCTACTCCATATTTCGGTTGACTGCTACACAATAAAGCCTTCTAGAAACACCAGGATGGAACACAGTCTTGGCAATAAATGACAATTTAAAAAATAATAACAACCCGCTATTGTGCAAGAAGCAAGATAGCAATAGACTCACCATTATCATCGCCGGAGTCTGACTGGAAAGAGCTGAGAGACTGTACTTCAGAGTTGCTGCCTTTATTGCTTCCTGAAAAACAGGTCACCTCTTCAATGTCATCGACTCCTTTGCCTAAACACACACACACACACACAACAAAAGGCAATGGGTCAGGTGGAAACATTGACCTCTGTTTTAAGCCCCCATGAAATGGAATGCATCAGTTCCCCATCTTGGGTCCCCAGATATTCTTGGACTAAAAATCCCAGAAGCCTTTGCCACTAGCTGTGCTACCCAGGATTTCTGGGAGTTATAGTCCCAAAACATCTGGGGAACCAAGGTTGAGAACCACTAGTATAGATGGATTCTACCTTGTGTACTTCTCTCTCTGTATCTCTCTGTTATACACAAACACTTATTAGTTTAATTCTATAGAGCAAGATGCGCCAATCTCATTTGGGCTGAGCGGACATACTCCTCCTCCTCCTTATTTTTTATCCCCAGAACAAATCTGTGAGGTACATTAGGCCAAGGAATTTCAACTTTCTTCAACTTGAAAAAAATGTAGGGCAGATATATATCTATATATAGATTTGATCGTGGGTTTCCACCATCCAGAATTCTATAATCATAGAATAGTGAAGTCAGAAGGGGCCTATAAGGCCATCTAGACCAAACCTCTACTCAAGGTCCCCAACCTTGAGCCTCCAGATGTTCTTGGACTACAACTCCCAGAAGCCTTCAACACCACCTCTGCCGGCCAGGATTTCTGGGAGTTGAAGTCCAAGAACATCTGGAGGCCCAAGGTTGGAGACCACTGCTCTACTCGATGCCTAAATACAAATCAAAGAATATCTGCCATGTGGCTGTCTAAGTATCTCTTGAATGCCTCCAGTGTTGGAGCACACACCACCCCTTGAGGTAATTGGTTCCACTGTCGTACTGCTCTAACAGTTAGGAAGTTTTTTCTGATAACAGACCTGTAACATGAGCCCATGTTGCTGCATGTCCTGCACTCCGGGATAACCAATAACAGATCCTGCCCCTCCTCTGTATGACAACCTTTCAAGTATTTGAAAAGTGTTATCGATCACCCCTCTGTCTTCTTTTCTCAAGGCTAACATGCCCAGTTCTTTCAATCTTTCCTCATAGGAAAGATGGGTTTCCAGTCCCCGATCATCCTTGTTGCCATCCTCTGAGCTTATTCCAGTTTGTCATTACTATACTACACTGTCTCAAATTCCAGACCTGCTTCTATCCAGATTACTCACTTTCAGTGCCATTTTCCCAGGTCTTCCTGATGGAGTCACAGTCCGAGCGGCATGGAGAAACAGCTGGTAGGTTGGGAGCTACACTGCACACTACGACACCCCGCCTTGCAGTGAGGATCCGGGGAGACTCTGGATGGAATGTTGTCATCTCCTGATGCTCCACTCCGAGTCCATCCACTATCTTATCTAAATTGTTCCTAGAATCACTCTGGAAACAAGGTGTATAGGCCATTGGCCTTACGGGCACTTGAGGTGGCCCCACCTCTTGATAAATGTTGCGGCTATCCCCACTGTTCCTCATATTCTTGAACTGAATCCCATTGCTTTTGTGAAGGAGAGCAGCAGTTGCTGGGTCTTGGACCAAAGTGATGTTGTTCCGGGAATAATTCTTCCTGAAGACTTTCTTACGGAACACTATGAAGAGGACAATTAACATGAAGATGACAAAAAGGACGATCGCGATTCCAATGAGCTCTTCTTTGCCCACGTAAGAATGGCCGGCTTGAATGTTAGGGACAACCACTGGTCGCAATCCACAGTGCTGACCCACATATCCAGGAGTGCAGTTGCACAAAAACGAGCCGAAAACGTTGACACATGAGCCGCCATTTTCACATTCTTCCCTTTCACACTCATTAATATCTTCCTCACACCTGAGGGAAAAGAAACATCAAAAAAGATGAAGGATTTTGGAAATTAGCATCAGACGGAGATACACACCAAAACAAAGCCCTCTTTTGTTGCAAAATATTGTATTTTTCCGTGTATAAGACAATACTTTTGTCTAAAATCTTTAGACTAAAAATTGGGGGTCGTCTTATACACGGAAGTAAGCTGAGGAGAGAACAAAAACAAGTGGAGGGGAAAGCAGGGATCAAACCGGTCCAGCAGCACTTTGATCCCTTCCCGTTATACTTGCTAAACCCCACTTAGATTTCTTAATTTTGGATTAGAAAAGTGTGGGGCGTCTTATACATGGGGGCATATTATACATGGAAAAATATGGTACTTCCTCAGAATTCCCTCACTAAAGCTCTTCTGTGACGTATGGTTACAGCAATAAACTCATAGGAATCCTGCATCATATGGAGGGGCTATACGTCCAGAAGTTGTCATATATGCCACCAGGGGCTCAAGAAATACCATGGAGTTGCCACATTTCTGAAATAAAGAGAACGTGGGGGTCAGTAGGCTCCATCTTAGCTTGTAGGCTCCATCATGAGGCAGGCCTGCTTTCTCTTACCAGCTTTTCAATGCAACATATGAGGAAGAACTTCTGAGAAGCAAGAAGCCTATTTTCCTTGGCATTACTTAGTTCCTTCAAGAAGATCTACCTCAACACATACTATTTCACATTTCTTCGTTTAGAAAAAAGGTAATTAAATTAAAGACAACAAGCAAACATGTCCTACTTCTGCATTCTGACTGACTGCAATTAATCCCTTTTTCCTGAAAGCAAAAATATAACCATATGACATTACAAGTGTAACTTAACCTAACTCCACTCTTTTTGGGGTTCAGTTAGGCATCCTTCAGTCTCGAAAGACTATGGTAACGTGCTCTGTATGGAGGACTTGGAACAGCGTCTAGTGTGGCTGAAGAGGCCAATTCGAGAGTGGCAATCTCTTCCACACTGAAGACAAATCCAATCTGTCCCCTGTCCAGCTCCCTGGTTTTGCTGCTTTTGTGACTTCCTCTTTGCCTCGGCCTGCTGGACAAGGGTCTCTTCAAATTGGGAGAGGCCATGATGCACTGCCTGCCTCCAGGCTGAACGATAAGATGTCAGGGTTTCCCATCTGTTGAGGTCTATTCCTAAGGCCTTCAGGTCCCGCTTGCAGATATCCTTGTATCGCAGCTGTGGTCTCCCTCTGGGGCGATTTCCCTGCACTAATTCTCCATACAGGAGATCCTTTGGAATCCGACCATCAGCCATTCTCACGACGTGCCCAAGCCAACGTAGACGTCGCTGTTTTGGGGTGTAACTGTAACAATTGTCATAACTTTTATCATACAGGGCAGTGACCTCAATAAATGGTGGAGAAAGAATATCACATGGCTCAGACACTGGCTTGCGCAGAGTCTCTCATGGTGATGTTCGGTACTGTGCTTTCAGTGTTGAGAGGAGACTGTGTTTTGTCCAGCTAGACACCGGTTTGTAGCATGCTTTCAGTGTTGAGAGGAAGAGAAGAGGAGCGCGCAAGGGGGGCCCATGATGACAAAGGGGTGATTCCCTGTGATGTCACAAGAGTTGTGCTTGCAAGAAGAGGCAAGGCTGCCAGAACTCTGGAAATGGGTATAAGTGGAATCCAGATAAATGCTCCCTAACTGTGCAGAAAACACAGCTAGCCAGATAACATGGCAACTCAATCAATGGTGGAAGACCGGCAGATGATAATGCAAAACTGTAGTGGTTGCTATCATTCCCGGTTGGGCTTTGTTCACCAACTTCAAAGCCACTTCACAGATGAAAACCAAACATTCCTCATGCCACTTTAAGATTTGTACCCTGGGAAGCCCAGCAATTCTGCTAAATTTCAACCAGCCTTTAAGCATAAGGGTAGAAAACAATTACAGCTATATCTTACTAATCTTAAATAATATCGTACCAAGCTCTTTGTTGCTGGGCTTCAACTGTATCAGGAACTTTTTCATCACTGATGTACTATTAGAGTATGGGACTGAATCAGACCAGAGGAAGGCCACTTTCAGTAGTCTGGAGTCTATGCCAAGACCCTTGGAGGGTCACGCTCGCTCCTGTGCCTTCCCCCATTATTTTTTTCAAATTAAAATGACCCCTTGTACCATTTAGTGGCTCTAGAATCCCATTTGCCACCTTCAATGTTCCTGAACAAAAAGCGATTTTCTGTTCCGAGTGATTTCCGGTTTTGAACTCTCCCAACCTAAAACAGCTATGATGGAGGCAAGGGATGGCAAAACTGTTTCCCCTTTCATGCTGCCTAGAAGTGTGTAAAATTTTTTTGAGTGTGTAAATTTCTTTTAAAAAAAAGTCAGCTGCAGTTTGCCCGTCCATGTTATTTTTGCTCTGAACAAAATCACTTCCAAAAGGTTTCCTCCGCAGCCTTCTTTCCTGATGTACTTGAGTGGTGGGGATGCTAGAGATGGAATCTGTTGCCTTTCGAACAGCACTTGTGAGCTTCAGCACCACACTAAGTGTGGTGAGCTTACTTACGTCACGCCTGTTAACCCACTCCTGCAGCTGCAGATGAAGGCGCTGCCTATAGGGTCACATGATCCTCCATTGCGACATGGGTTTGGAAAGCAGGCCGTGATCTCTGACTCACAGTTTCGCCCAGTAAACTGCGAGAGGCAACTGCACTGATAACCTAAGGACAAAATAATAAAAAATTTAAAAAAATAGACACGACAGAAAATACAAATTCTCAACAGGATATGATTTAGTTACATAGATAGCATAAATGTGGGTTTCTATTTCCCTTTAGCAGCTGGCTTGGGAATGGAACTGATATTTATAAGTCTAAACAATTTTTGACTTCCAGCTGGAGACACTAAGGAAATACATACATTATGCTGTTTATAGATACTTACTCTGTTTTAATGAAAATGAATGGGCAGTGATTTTAGATCTAGAAAACCTACACTGCTTTTGACAGTTTCACTGTTTCTCAAAAGGGATGTAGATTATTCAAGATTATTATTAAAGGCGATAAAGGATTATTTTTGAAACAGTAGTTTTCCAATCATAGAAACTCTGTAATAGAATAGCCATGCTAAAGTATAATTGATGGCTCCCTGCACCACAGGCGACGGAGCTGTTTGGATCCTCTCCACAGAACTGGCCAGTCCACTTACTGCTCACCGCATGGCGTGCATGGCTGTCAACTGTGTTATACCAATAGTGGATGTAGCCCAGCCGGCACTTCCCCGCCTCCCCCAGCAGCTGAGCGGGGAGACTCGTCCTCCTCCCTCCTTGTCGTCGTGGTCAGCCACGCAGGGAGGTGGGGAAGGGCTAGCCGCATCGCTTCCACAATTGGCAAACAATGACGGCTGTGTGCGCCACAAGCAGTAGGTGGACCAGACAGTTCTGGTGGGGGAGGGTCCAAAGGGCTAGGCCACTTGTGCCGGCAATATTCGTATTTGTCTTCCCCGGGAGACACACAGAAGTATCCCATCTCTAATGCAAACATTTGGGGTGGGGGACACAAAAAGACAAAAACTAGCTTCCATGTTGGAAGGAGGAAAGGGTATCACAACCGGACACAGAACACAGAGATGGGATGACAACACCAGTGAGCACTGAACCAATGTAATGGAACCAATTTCCACATCCATCTCTAGAACAAGCTTGAACAACTGCAGGCCACTTCTAAGAAGCCAGTTGGGCAGCCAGCTGGGTTGGAGGTGTCTCAAGCTTCTGTTTGGCCACATACATGGCTGGTTAGATGGGCTCACTGAGTGGGACGGAGTTAGTTGTGTACAACAGATGAACAGGGGGAGGCTGGCATCAGTGACTCTAAGCATGCTTTTCAATTTGGAACAGATCACTTGTGAACGCTGCTGGCGTAAGAGAAAAGGCAAAAAGTAAACACTCTTAATTGAGTGCACATTCTTGTCAATGATGCTGAATTTTAGAACCTTGGGAAAAGCAGAAACCAGTTTCCTCACCATATGCAAATACAAGCTGAGAACACCTTTGAGTGTCACAAGCGCTACTAACTAAGTACTGCTTCTGAGGGTTTTTTGGTAGTGTAAGTTTGTTAGCACCTCAAAGGAGTTGGTGCAGGACCCTGACACACATTTTTGCAGCCAATGACATTCCTGTCATCACTGAAATTTTACGGTGTGCCCTTCCTATACGTCAAGGAGTGTACTCCTTGCACACCTTGTTTTATATTGTGAGTGATGCCTGTGTTTCATCGTTGTCATGTGATACCATGGCCTGTTTCTCAAGGGTTGGGATAAGTCTTATATGAATTAGGGTGTCATAATTCAGTGTTTCTTAGAATGTCTGCAGAGTGTGATCATTAAGCATTCTGTTATAAACTGATCCAACCGAACATGCCCAAGACAGACATGCAAATTAGAATTAAGTCACCTGGTGGCTTTACCTTTTCCTGAGTGTGCTCACAGAGTTTTTAGCGCATGAAAATGCCACAATACATATTTAGAAATGAGTACCGATGGAAGAAAGTGAGGAGAAATTAAAGAACCTCGTAATGAGGGTGAAAGAGGAGAGCGCAAAAAATGGCCTGAAGTTCAACATCCAAAAAACTAAGATCATGGCCACTGGTCCCATCACCTCCTGGCAAATAGAAGGGGAAGATATGGAGGCAGTGACAGATTTTACTTTCTTGGGCTCCATGATCACTGCAGGCCGTGACAACAGCCACAAAACTAAAAGACATGTGCTCCTTGGGAGGAAAGCGATGATAAACTTCGACAGCATCTTAAAAAGCAGAGACATCACCTTGCCAGCAAAAGTCCGCATAGTCAAAGCTATGGTTTTTCCTGTTGTGATGTATGGAAGTGAGAGCTGGACCATAAAGAAAGCTGACCGCCGAAGAATTGATGCTTTTGAATTGTGATGCTGGAGGAGACTCTTGAGAGTCCCCTGGACTGCAAAGAGAACGCACCTATCCATTCTGAAGGAAATCAACCCTGAGTGCTCACTGGAAGGACAGATCCTGAAGCTGAGGTTCCAATACTTTGGCCATTTCATGAAAAGAGAAGACTCCTTGGAAAAGACCCTGATGTTGGGAGAGTGTGAAGGCAAGAGGAAAAAGGGAAGACAGAGGATGAGATGGTTGGACAGTGTCATCGAAGCTACCAATAGGAATTTGACCCAACTCCGGCAGGCAGTGGAAGATAGGAGGGCCTGGCGTGCTCTGGTCCATGGGGTCACGAAGAGTCAGACACGGCTAAATGACTAAACAACAAAAACAAGTCTCCTGACTGTAGGAAGCTAAGCCTTGTAATCAGAGGCAGCCTGTTTACAGAGGCAAGGTTATGTTAAACATAAAAGCTTGCTGTATATCCTAAAAACAACACCTGCAGGTTGATGGAGATTGGGAGGTGTGGGTGAGTGAACACCAACAAATATGACACAGATTGGAAATCACAAACATTGGTGCATCTCTAACAGTGAGTCCTTGTCACACATGCTCTTAATGGACAGCAGAGACTTGCAAGGGTTTTACATGTCTCCCTTCAACAACACTAGGGTTAGGAGCACCAGACCCCCCTGTGGAATTTAAACTCCATGTATAATTTTTATGCCACCAACAATGCAGATTAAGCAGATAAAGCCCTCATCGGGGGGGGGGGGAATAAAGATGCAATCTGTCCCCCTCAATGAAGCAGCGCACTGCTGGGACCTCCCCCAACCTGCGTCAGCTTCTAGGCATGTCCCAGTATCATTTGTGGCCTCCATGTGGAACTGCCATGACAGGGGAGAGAAATTGGCCAGGTCAATGGACTGGGGGCTGCTAGGCGGCCAACAATAGGAGCCTGAATGAGCCCGAGGCCCATCTTTCTTGGGCCACTTCCTAGAGATGAAGAGCAGCACAGTATTTATTGAACATTTATTTATTTATTTGAAAAAAAATATGTATCTGTGCCTGAGCACGTGTAATTCAAAGGAGAAGTGTATAATGTGTAAAAAAGCTTTTAGGCCCATTTGATGGGAGTTGATGCCAGTATCTCTACTCCCAAATACTCTGCCCAGACCCAGTGGTGTGCTGGATTTGGATAGCATTGGTACACGGTATAAGGCCTTGGTTTCCATTTGATTATTTATGCTCCTTTTCATGTACAGAGAACTGCTTGGGCTAACAAATTATTTGGCCTTGGGGAGAGGAGAAAAAAAAAGATAAAACAGCAAAAGGTGGCCATGACGATGTCATAGCAGATTGCATTACAGATTGGCTGATGTATCGTTAGGGCCCATTGCTTTAGAATTATGGCACCATAACCATCCTTTATTTACATATACTGCTGAGATAGTGAAAAAAAAACCCTCGAGCAAATAGATTTTCTAATGAGAGTGAGCAAGGAAGCGAGCCAGTGAGCAAGCACGCAATCTGAAATATTCCCTCAGGGGATTTGCTCTTCAATAGGCCATGGAGGCCTAAGTCGCTTTGGAGCACAGAATGGTGCGGGAGACCATTCCAACATGAGCTGTTTATATGCCTCTCATAATAAAATGGACCCATCATTTGAAAATGTGTGTATATAGCCCTGTTCCTCCTCCTAGCAGCCAATGTAAATGTGAAATATCTAATCCTGTCAAGAGAGTGGAAGGAAAGGAGGAAATTATCCTAAAGTGATTTGGTTAGAAAGGTTTCAATTTGCACATCATGCAATTTGTAGAATGATCGTCTAAATAGACTTCAGTGAAATCACTTGAAAGACGAGCTGGCTCCCCCTTTTAACTTAGTTTATTCGTGCAGTGAATGCTTGACCTAATTTATCATACGCGGCCAAGTTATAAAGTTAGGCATTTGTTTTATCCTTACTCCCCCGGGATATAAATAATCTCGTTTAGCAATTTTCAAAAGCTTCTACATCTTTTGAATTATTATGCTGCTTTTTTAGCTGGGTCTTTTTTTTTTAAGTTGCCATTTGTAGATAAAGAACTATGTCAGTACTGACGTGAGCCCTGATAAAAAAATCCACGCTTTTATTCGTTTAATGTACCAACACTTCTGCCTTTAGCTCCCTGGGCACCACCACCTTCTTGAGTCACTGCATTTTGTCCGAAGACAATCTTCCGTGGTCACATGGCCAGTGCGACTTAGACACAGAACGCTGTTACCTTCCCACTAAGGTGGTCCCTATACTTGCATTTGCATGCTTTCGAACCGCTAGGTTGGCAGGAGCTGGGACAAAGCAACGGGCACTCACTCCATCACGTGGATTCGATCTTACGACTGCTTGGTCTTCTGACCCTGCAGCACAAGCTTCTGCGGTTTAGCCCGCAGCGCCACCACATCCCTCCAGGCAGTACTGTACGTCAGCATTAATATTCAGGCTGCAGAGGAATTCTCTGAAGCCAATGAGGTAGAACTACAAAGATGAAATACGATGATGGAGGATGAGTAGATGGATGGAGAGCTGAAAAGGATATGTTTAAACAGACTGGGAGCAGTTGTAAAAAGTAGTGACAAATTTCGGAAGGATTCAGAGGACAGTGTCAGGGTCTTCACAAAAACACTAAGTTTACTGTGCACACAAAGCGATCCCTGAACTCCTTTGGCTTCAAATGGGAAAAAAAAGACAATTTGGACCTAGTTCTTTCTCCTCTGAAATGTTCAAATTTTGATACATACAAGTTACTTTTTAGGGTTCAATTTCTAGCATCAGCTTGATTAGTGGCCAGGCTGGCCATCAGCTTCTGGGTTTAAAGAAAAAATTTGTTTCCAGCTCTGTTCTGATAATAAGACAACCCCTAGACTTTCTCCCTTGTCTCCCCCTTTCCCTCTTGTTTTCTAATCCCATGTATTTCTTTCTTGGCTCCCTAACATCATCCAAGAATAGTCCCTTACTCACAGGAATGTCTTTACTTGTCTGTAGGTTGTTATCCTGATGCTACATCAGCACAGGATTGTCCTTCGTGCTGGATTTGCACGGCCACCTAAAGCCACGAATTGTGGAAATATTTTACAAAATACAGAAAAAAGAAAAGGAATTTGTCTCATTCTCTTGATGAAGATGAGAAACCTTGCAGGAGTTCACAACTCTCAATGTGGTACGTGTTGATCATGAGGAATCTAATGATTTCTTCTGATCCTTACAATGAACACCAAAGCTGGTGCTTCTGTGGGCTACCGGCAGAAACGAGACCTAGGATGTTTTCAGCCTATTATAGGGATATGACTGCTAGCAGGAGAAACTAGATGCTCCCCGCTCAGACAATGTAAACTTAAAAGGCAAGATATTCACCACCAGATGGCACGCTGGTACAGGTCCCTCCGTTCTGGCAGGGGTTCCTCTTGCAAGCATCTGGATACAAGACACAGCCGAGCTTCAGTTCAGTCAGACCGACCACCTCCGCAAAACTACTGCGCTTGTTTTGGAGTGGCAGCTCGTTGTTGTTCAGGACGACGGAATCCAAGCATCCCTGAAAGCCGCTTAAGACGTGGGTAGTCCTCTTGTCCGTCAAGCTCCGGACGTTATCCACCTGCACCTGGGCTCCAAAGTAGACGGAGCTGTCGGTGCTCAGGGTCTGGAAGTAGAGGGGGGCTTTGCGCCGCTCCACGTAGCTGTCGTCAAGAGACAAGCTGGTGAAATTCCGATTCAGCTCAAGGAAAACGGAATGCCAGCCCCCGTCGTTAACGGCCCTGCCAGAAATCCCCAGGATGCCCGGCCCGGCTCCACAGTCCAACTGGAACCACAGCTTGCCATCTACGATCTGTAAAGGGAAAGGCAAAACACCGGGATATCAAACTTTACTGGGCGCTCTTAATGTTCTAACACTGCAGGAAAGCAAAGCAGCATAGTAGAAAAGAGAGTAATGCCACACAGGCGAGGCCATAGCATATACAGTACACAGAAACAGGCTGAGATTACTGTTTACAGTAGTTAGCATTTAACTGCATTTATAGCAGTCACACGGCACATTATAAACTCTGTGCATTAAGCTGCCTGGGGTATATTTACATGGACGTTTTCAGGCACGGCTAGCTATTCGCAAATTTGCAATGGTGGCAATTTATTTTCCAGCAAAAGATCATATAACATGGTTCATGTGCTTCATAGCCTGCTATGTTCTTCACCAATCTCTCCCGTATTTCCCTTACATTACATTTGATGCTAAATACAGAGCAAACCGCCCCGTTTGGCTCCTAGACTACCAGCGACTCGTGGTCCAAAAAGAGGGAGACTAACCTTGGTGTGGAGGAGGTGAGACACACATATTCCCAACTACAGGCCCATCAGGGTTCTCAATCTTTATATCATTCTGCTTCATTGCCTCTCAGTTCCCGCTACTCCGACTTCCAAGACCTTTTTTGGCTACCTCTGGGATTCCTTTCAACCCCTATGTGCCAAGTGACTAACCAGAGCTGACTCCTGAGTTAGAAATTTTATTATTTTTTCTGGTAGACTCATAGGTGACATCTGCTATCTCAGATATGGCTTGATCCAGCTCAGTACAGTGGTGCATCGCTAGACAGTTACCCCGCATGACAGTTTTTTCGCTAGACATTGACTTTTTGCAATCGCTATAGCGATTCGCAAAACAGTGATTCCTATGGGAGAATTTTGCTGGACAATGTTTGGTCCCTGCTTCACAAACCAATTTTCGCTAGACGACAATTTTGACAGCTCCCTTCGTGCTCGCAAAACGGGTGTTTTCGGGACCTAAGCTTCGCAAGACAGCGATTTAAACAGCTGATCGGCGGTTCGCAAAGCGGCTTTCCTATGGCCAATCTTCGCTAGACAACGATAATTCTTCCCCATTGGAACGCATTAAACAGGTTTCAATGCATTCCAATGGGGAAATGCTTTTCGCTAATGATGATTTCGCTAAATAGCGATTTCAGTGGAACGGATTATCATCGTCTAGCGAGGAACTACTGTATTTCCTACTTTAATTGACAATAGCTCCCAAACAAAGACCTTGCCAGCTGAGCTAGGCAGAAGTCCTTATAACTGGAGGCACCTGGAACTGAACATTTGTCCACTCCTAGCCAAGAACCCAATAAAGACTGTTGTGTGTTTCTGACTCTCTTTCATTCTGAATAGCAGATTAGTTGTATATCAAACTAGATGAACCCTAGTTATCCAGTGATTTATGGTCTACAACTCCCATAATTATCTCCACACTGGCTATCCTGGCTAAGACTTATGGTCAAAGCATATAGAGGGCCATGATTGCCGTTCCTTGCTCTATATTAAAGCAGATCAGTAGGCAGAACAGAAGTCAAAATTTACCCCTGACTTGGAGACATGACTCTTTCAGCACATTTTTGTCAGAATGTTTCTGTGTCTATGGAACTGTCTGAAAACCATCAAGTTGGAAGAGCTGTATATTGTGTCTGTTATAATGTTATTTCTTCTGCTTTGTTTCTGAGTTCAAGTCAAAGTTCTGGTTCTAGAGATATGAAAGCAGCCTAGTTGAGGGGATATTTACTCTCATATGATCCCTCCACAAAGAAAGGTGCAACTGGAAGAAGATGGGAGCAAGCTCACTCCCAGTGTGATGCCTGTGTTGTGGAATTCGCAGAGCAAGGAATCTAGTGTGCTCTATTTGGGATGTGAAAAAACCTTACTACTGTTGACTAAGCATCTCAGGACAATGAAATGGCATCTAAATCCCCTTGTCATATTTTGCATGCAGTTTGAGACCAAGGTGTCAAAATCATGTGGGTTTTGGTTTTTTTTTTGAGTTTCTACAATCTATAGCAAAATACACTGTGTAAAACTCCTGTCTGTACAAAAACCCGTAGGTTTTTCCTTTCATGAATCTCAGCATACACAGAGGGAAAAGCACAACAAGGTGGACTGATGGATGGCAGAGAGGCAAACACTCATCTACCAACTTTGTAATTGTTTTCTGGTTAACCTCTTTCTGTCTTCTTTCAATTTTGAATGAAGCTTTTTATAGTATATATCAGAAGAAATTTTGGGAGGACCCTCTTTTTTGGAACAGTCTCTTGCAGCTTCCAGGAAATCTATTCTTCCTTGGAAGCTGTATCATATACACATCGCTGTAGATACAATACACTTTCAGTCTACCTAAATGAAATGTCGAAGGCACATTTGCAAATACAGGTTACCTATCATTTATTTTTCTGAAGTAACGCTTCACCTCTTAATGCTGAAGTAGGATTTACGCTCCCTTATTTCATCCTGTCTAGGTTTGAATAACTTTGATTGAGCGCTCTGCTTCATTTGCATTTTATAACTCTTTAGTCTCTACATCACCAAAATAGGGATCCAGGTTTAAAAAAACCTCACAGTTGAAAGCTGAAAAGATTCTACAGATATTGCACGGCGCATCATGAACTGTAATATTGCAATGACAGGATAATAGCAACAGGAAGTTAAAATCCTGAAAATACCACAACCAAATGAATTAATGACCCCGTGATGAGTGAGCCACTCATAAGCTGATATGGAAACAAGCTGAATTATTTCCCCCAAAACTTGGAAATTACTCTTCGTTTGCAAATCTTCCAGACTGTCTTGCTAACAAAGGACACATTTTAAGCTCAGCAGAGTTTCTGCTTGGGCAAAGCTGTAGTGTGACTGTGATGAGGGGGTTATGACTTGGGTGGATGAAAGGAAGTCTAAGCAAAATTTGCCAAGGCTGTGCCCTGTTAGGTGGCATCAAATTATTTAGGGTGGTTAAAACAAATATGGATTGGGAAGCACTCTGAAGAGATCTCTCCAGAAGGCATTAATATGGCAAGTACAATATATACACATGCACAGTGATGGGTGGGTGGATAAATACCGTAAATGAATTTTCAATTTCACATATACATTGAAGGATTTTTGATGACAATTACTGGCCAGGAATGGGAACTCGGGGTTATGATAAAGAGCTTGACGGACATGCCAACCCACCATGCAGCTACTGTACAGAAGTAACACCCATCTTGAGCTTAATCTGAAAACCAGTCAGAGCAGCACAGCCTCTTTAAATGTCATGTACGATTCTACCCATACAGCCTGAAACAGGATAACATACAGGAGGGATAAGGTGCATGAAAAGGCATTAAAAATGATCAAGGAGCTGGAACAAGTTTTCTTTGAGGGAAAGTCACAACATTTGGTGGCTGTTTGGTTTAGAAAAATGGTGAAGGCATACGAACATGACAGGTGTGTATAAAATTATGCCCGATATAGAGAAAATGGATAGGGAGATCATTTTAATATGGTTGTCCACTGAAGCTGAATAACGGGAGATTCCAGACAGAGAAAAAGAAAGTACTTTTTTCACACAGTATTAAACTATGGAACATACTGCCCACATGATGTAGGAACAGCTACGAACTTGGATTGTTTTCAAAGACAACCAGATAAATTCTTGGAGGATTGAGCTATCGCCCTGCCCCCAGGATACATATTAACAGGGGAAGGGGGCTCAGTGTGTACAGGACATTGAGAGCAATGCCATCAGGCATCTGTACTGTGTTCGAGTCTGGGCTCCTAGAAGGGTCACCTAAGGTGACATGGTCAAAGCTGAGACACCAGACTAAGATGCATCCACCCTTTTCAGAAGTAACAATTACAGCAGCAAATAATGGGTAGTTTTAACATGGATGGGGACGGGGAAACTTTCTGAGGGCAGCTACCCCAACTGGAAAGCAAGAAATTGAATGCTTAAATATTGCAGTACTTAGTGTGAGTTCACTCAAGTATGCTGGTATAGAACATTTTCAGCTGGACAATTTCAAAGTGTTTTACTCCAGACATGAGAAGTAACAATTACAGCAGCAAATAATGGGTAGTTTTAACATGGATGGGGACGGGGAAACTTTCTGAGGGCAGCTACCCCAACTGGAAAGCAAGAAATTGAATGCTTAAATATTGCAGTACTTAGTGTGAGTTCACTCAAGTATGCTGGTATAGAACATTTTCAGCTGGACAATTTCAAAGTGTTTTACTCCAGACATGACAAACTCAGAAGAAATAGTGTGGCTTTAATATCGAGGCATGATGGAATACAAGCAGTTAGGGGCTTGCAATCAGTTGTCTTGGAAAAAAACTTATATAAATAACCAAGGCTATGCTCCCACTAGAGATGCTGAAGAAGAAACTAGAAGCTTTTTTTAAAATCAAGAAATTAATCAAACACCAGAACAGGATGTGCTGATGATGATCATAGGTGATTAGAATACAGAAGTAGGAAAATCAGAACCAAATTTTGTTAGAGAACTAGTCCTAGGGGTAAGAAACAGAGAAGGAGAATAACTCATAGAATTCTGTGAAGCAGATATTTTTATTGTAAATACATAATTCAGGCAATTGAACAGATGAATATAGATATGACTGTTATCCCATGTCCAATGCAGAAATCAGACTGCATAATCAGAAGCAGTAGATGGAGAAGCTGTATTCTTTCTGGCAAAACAAGACCAGGAGCAAATCATGCAGCAAACCATGAACTGTTAATATATACATTTAAAGTAAAACTGAAGAGAAACACTAGAACACTTGTGCCAAAATATAATTCAAATAGTGTTTCTGATTAATTTAAAGTCCATGTAAAGAACAGATGTGCATTCCTAATCAAAAGATACAGAAGGAGAGACACTGTTAGGGAAGTGACCAAGAAGACTATTCCTGTAGTCAAAGGGAGAAAAAAAGCTTAGATAAATAACTGATGAAACTCCTAACATTGCCAATGACAGAAGAAACGCAAAAGTGACAGAAATAAGGTCAAAATCCTAAACGCAATTT